GTGTCTAGGAGTGACAGAAGAGTTGCATTTCTAAAGACCACCCAACTCTTTTCAGAAGCTGTAGTCTTGATCCTGTGACACTCCCAAAACTCAATCATCATGAACCAGGGTTTTTCTTAACAGCTACCAGATTCTTTAAACCCTAACCTACTCATTGAAGCTTCCTCTGGTGTGCTCCATCCCCTCCTTCCTTGAGCACTGCCACTCTTCTCTCCTCTGATTCCCTCAATTCACGCACAACCATTCATCAGTGTCAAGAGATCTTTGTCACCAAGGCTGAGACAGAGTGAGTGCCAGCAGCAGGGACATAGCTGCTTTTCTGCCTGTGTCATCTGCAAACATTCCTACATCTCAACAGTCCATGGAGAAAGGGTAATACAGAGATGGAGGCAGACCACATGTTGGCCAGTGCCACATGGCCACATTTGTTTTGAGGCAACTTTTTCAGGAGATAGGTTTCTCTGAATGAAACAACAGCTAACTAGGTAGAAAAGAAGGTCATAATTAACTATAAAAATGGAGCAAAGTCTTTGTCTAAACTGATCATAAAGATCTAAACATAAGTAGTCTAAACTGCTCTCAGCACCGTCACAGACTACATTATCACAGAGTTAGCCTTGAAATTGAGTCAGTATCACCTATCTTATCACATAACAACGTCATCTTTCTGACGATAACATTTCCTATAGAAAAGCAGAAGTTTCTGAGTGCTACTGAGCTATGGCATCTCCCTCTAAATTCACTGCAGAAAATTGTTAAAACTGTCTGTGAAAACAATTAAAAACTAAAACATTCTTCTTTTTTTTTTTTCAAATTAGTTTGCAATTTCTAAAGTATTATGTTTTTCGCATTGTTTTAGAATAAACACCCAAATAAAAATAGAAGTTTTGCATCCATCCAAAGTAGACAGATTTCCAGCTCATGTAAAGGTCTCTGTTTGCTTTGGTTGCAGTGGACTTAATGGATTGTCTAAAAGTATCTATAATTTCTTCAGAGTCTCTGAAACTCTGACGCTTCTTACTCACTGAGTATTTCTCTTTCATCACCCAGGAAAAGGAAAATAAAAAAATAAAATAAAAAAAAAAAAAAAAAAAAAAAAAAAAGATCAGAATATTGCAAAGAGACTTATGACTGGGATACTGAATGGGGAAATAAAATGTAGACTAAAGCCAAGCCATTTACCCTTTGTATATTTGTCGTGTGCTTGAGAATAACTACATATTTGGAAATATCTTATAAGAATAAAATTTCAGAAAGATTTAATATTGCCTGGTTGTTATTTCAGGTTTAATGAACTAAAATGTAATGTCTGCATGAGTCTATACTACTTCCTAAACAACAGTGCCAAGAACAGCAGTTCTCCTAAATGCACCCTCTCGTGTTCAATGGAAGCTTGTGTTACACGGGTTCCAGCATCAGAAGAGGATTTGCTGAATTTTGATAAAGTAACATAACAGTTGTCAGATAAGATTGTGATGGGAGAAATCAGTCAGTAGCTTAGCCATTTTCAAGCTTTAAAGCATAGTTTTCCACCTCCCTTGCCCCCTCAGAGACATTAAATTTCTCTGTGACTCAACTTTGGGGAAATAGGTATATTACACTTCCAGACACCTTTTTCCACTATTTTTCTTGGTTCGTTCATTTCAGCCAGAAAAGGAGATAAGTGTTGAAATGGTGGTTACTGAGGCATCAACCTAGTAGCTAAAGTGAGATTTCTGAGGGATTAGTAAAATCACTGAGAAGTCCCAGTATGAGAAGGATACATTTTCCATCTCATTTCCTATATGTGAGGTATGCCCTTCTCCATATCGCATTTAAACCTGCTAAGGCACACAGTCAACTGAAGTACAAACAATAAACTCCACTTAAATGCTACATCTACTATGAATATCTAAGCCATAGGGTATGCTTCTGAATCGCAAGATGGCACTGAAAGGTGTTTGTGTTTTCAACCCTAAATGCAGGCTTCCTTTTAGAGATATTGCCTGATGAATTCTTCATTGAATCGTTTGTTGAATTGTTTCCACTGAAGCCTTGAAGATGGCTAAGATGGCTAATCAGAGAACCAATGAAGTTAAAAAAAATAAATAAATGTCACTAAACCGCTAGATTTGCCAATGGGGGAAATAGATGATAGATTAGATAGATAGATAGATAGATAGATAGATAGATAGATAGATAGATAGATAGATAGATAAACTTCCCATTCCCTTCCCATACCTTTCCCCACCGTCTGCCTGGCATTAAGGAAATAAATTTTCTTTCCTCACAATGGATTTAATACTAGTGGGAGAGAAGGTATGTGACTTTTTGCCAGTGAATAAGAGGTCAGAGGTTCCTCTTGCCATCTCTGGTAGTGCTTGGTGGAGAGCACCAAACTGTGCTGTCTGGTAACTCTCCCTCATCCCTTTTCAGTTCCTACTGAGCATCAGGTCCAATTGTGAGAACACAACCCCACAGATCATCAGGTTATAAATCAGTAGAGGCTCTTCTGCCTTCAGGGACTCAGAGATTTGATTAAATCAGACAAAAATGATCTTATCTTCCCAAACTCAACTCATGGCCTGCAACAGTTAAGCTAAACAATTTCAGGTAGAAACAGTATGTATTTTTAACTTGTAATTGTGGAAAACACTACAGTGTATAACAGCAGGTCATGTCAAAATATCTCTGGCAGAGTTGCTGTCTTGGCAGTTAGTACACAGGTAGGGAAGTGAAAATATCATGGAAATAGAAAAAAAATATGTATTTAATTTGTTTGAATATTTAATTTGTTGAATATTTAATTTGATTTAGAAAGGTCTGGAAATAAACTGACTGAAATAGCCCAAATCTAATCACCTTCAGGGCTCATTTTTCTTCTTTACATACACTTCTAAAACAGAAGTGAGTTACAAACTACATCTAAGATGGAAATTAACAGTTTTTGTCACCACTGTGCAGTAATTTATGCTAAAATAGAGAAAGATCAGGATTATTATTATTATTATTATGCATTAATCAAGGCTTTGTAAATTTCCCAACAACTCGCACGAGAGTGTATTTGTCCTGAAAGCTGTATTTACTATTTATATTAGGTGAAACTAAAGACTAGAAAGATTCAATGTCTTGTCCAAGGGCATCAGGCAAGTGATAGGACTGGAAACCCATCCAGCAGCTCTCCCAATAAATGGTTACAACCCCATGGTAGCTCAAGGGCTCACTGAAAATTACTCCCTGTCTGGTTTAACTCATCTGCCAGTGCCAGTGCCAATGCAAGGGAACAGCCAGTGACACATGGCTGGGGAGAGCAGCAGCTTTGATTTAAATGAGCTTTAATTGCCATGGAATCAAGCTCCATAGTCCCTTACAGCTGTGGCTGCTCCTCCAGGGCACAATGCCTGAGCTTTGAAAATACAACTGTAAGGGCTGCAGCAACATACAGACAGACCTTTGGGCATTGATGGACATCAGAATAACTCCCAATTGTAGAGGAGAGCTAGGAATGGCCCTTTCTTACCATTTTATTCTGTCTGTGCTTTTGGTAGATTTCAGGTAGAGCCAGGACATACTAATACATTCCACATCATTCAAAATCTGCCTGCCTTTCAGGTACTCAAGATGAGAGTGAGTATGGGTCAGGGTTCTGGCACAAGGGGGTGGTTTTTTGCTTTTTTGTTTGTTTGTTTGTTTGTTGTGTTTTGTCAGTTTGTGTTTTGTTTGGTTGGTTGGTTTCAGGAGAGACACTTAGCAAACCCATCTCAGGAAGCACTTTTTTACTGTGTGGATGACTCAGGTTGCCCAGAGAGGCTGTGGGGTCTCCTCCTTGGAGGCCTCCAAAAGCCACCTGGAGATGGGCCTGGGCAGCCTGCGCTGGGTGGCCCTGCTGGAGCAGTGCTTGGACCTGGTGGCCTCAAGCATCCTGTGGTTTAGTGATCTGTACAGCTGCACCACTGCCCAAGCATGTGCCAGGACCCAATGTCCAACACAAAAGGACATAGGATTATCTTGCATCATCTGGATGCAGAACAACAGCAACAATATCTCAGGCTAATGGGCTTTACTTTCTCATCCTATTAGTTTCTCATAAGGCTGAAAGCCCTGAATTTAAAGCACCTCCTTTTGGCATGCACCAGTCACTACTGCGGTAGCACCCTGGATTGCCTCCCCTCTCTGCCCCTCACGTGGCAGAGAGCAGACATCCCCCAGGTGCTTCTGATCCAAATTCTTCCCTCCAGGAGGTTTCCCAGGACCCTCGCTGTTTCGATTAACAGAATGTGTTTCTGCTACAATGGTTGATATATGAAATTGGATTTTGTAGCAGAAAAATTAGTTCCTGGTTATAGGAGGATTAATGGCTCCCCTCTCTTTACTGTGTGCCCACTGGCAGGGCTCTCTGCTGGGTCCTGAGCATGTACCGAGACAATCTGTTCCCTTGGCTCACTCTTACACAAGGGGCTTGTGGTTTCACTAATTTCCCCTGCTTTTCTTCTTTTTCTTCCTCACTACGGGGGGAACTCACAAAGAAAGGAGGGTGGGGAGAAACAAGAAAAGGCTCCGAGTGCTCGTAGGAAAAGCCTGCACACTTGCTCCTTGTCAAAATGTGCACCTCTCCACGAAGGGGAGAGACAGCTTGTTTCACTCCTCTCTGGGCGAGGCACTGTCACAGCAGGCAAAATAGCCAAAGTGAATAAAAACTACTGATTTTAACCCAACGCTTCGCTTTCTCGGCCAGGTGAAGAGACTTACAAATGCTTGGCTTCGACTTGCTGTAAAACAGGATCCCTCGGCTTTGGCGAAGCCGCGTTATTAAATAAGCATCAGGGGTTTAAAGAAACAAAGGCTGGAGGAGTTGGTGGGGGGGAGCCTTATTTTAGGAAGGGGGCCAACAAAGCTGAGATGTTTAGGAGGGGGAAGTATCTACACCCTTGGAAGAGAGCAAGTGCCGGGTGCCAGCTGCAGAGAGCCTACAAGAACGGGTGTCTCCGATCCTTTTGTCTCCTTATATGGTAAAATGATAGCGAGGGGTTTCACTGGGCTGGGGAAGGCAGCAGCCTGCTTCCACACCACGCTGCCTGCGGAGCTGAAATGAGAAGAGCTGCTCTGGGCAGGCACTAGGAAGCCCCGGCTGGCTGTACCGCTCTCCTCTGCAGGCAGGCCGGTGTGCTCCTCACCCGTTTGTTAATGGACGTGACCCCCTGCCCCTGCTCCGGGAGGTGACACTAGCTGCCCGCTGCTGCTCTGTAAGTAAATATCCCCTTTTTCCACCTCCTCCCTCCCCGCTACCCACCGCCTGTGCCTTTGAAGGCGCCGCTGGAAACAAAGGGTGCAGAGAGATGGAGAGGGATGCGTGATGTGGTACCCAGTGGGTTGTTGGGTAAGGAGGCAAGGAGAGGGATCGCCGGTCCCCCTTTCTCCTGAGCGCACAGCCAGGTTTGTGAAGAGGAGAAAAAAAAAGATGAATTCCTCATCAGAGCAGTTACTGCTGCGTGTCCGAGCTGATGAGGCACCGGGTCATTTCGTGCGTACCTGTTTTTAATGACTGCATTGTGCTGTGGGTGTAAGCCGCTGGGGAGGTCAGAGCAAGTCAGAGCCGGGCTCTTGGGTTTCGCACACCTCTGTGCACACTTCCTGCTTCCTAGCGCAACAAAGGATCATTTTTGCACTCCAGCAAGAGCAGATGCACATGAAACAAAGGTAGCCTTTCCTGATCGCAGGCAAACACTGTGGACGGATTGTGCACGGGAAAAACGGGGAGCCATCAGCACCATATTTCTTCTTTTTACGTGGTGAGAATAAATTAGAATGCAAATCCCAATTAATAGCTCTGAATCCCTTCCTTTCATGCTTCTCTCTTTGTGCCTGTGTGTGCAGCCACGATCATGTAGGTGCTTACTGTATGCCACCGAACATGGATTTCTCTGTGTGCATAATAAAGGAAATACTAACTTTCATTGTCTGCATTAGTGGCTGCTCTAAACTTCCTACTTCCCTAAAGAGATATGGCTTTTGTTTAGTTCACTCAATGCCGGCGTATTTCAGCTTTGCTCTGTACAGAGGCACACAAGAAAGCAAACCTTGTAAAATCTATACAGCAGCTGCCGTTGTTACTCCCCTGATGCCTATCTGGGGGTATATTAACTGAGATTGCTGATTGATCATTAGGTCCAAGGTCAATAGCTGTAACGTATATTGTTGGCTATACATATTTGTACACTGTCTTAGATAGGAGTTGTCCTAGAAGCGCCAACAGAAGGGTATGTATTATCAGACACTCACACAGATCACAGTGTGAAGGAATTCTGTAGCTAAGGTTGCCATTTCTGTTATGAACCTTATTTTCATCTGTTCATACACTTACAGAACTCCCTGCTTTCTGGCTAAAGTCTTCTGTGTCTTTTATCAGCCAGATGGAAAACTTAGAAATTGATTGCTTTGGGCATTTGGATTTGAAAAAGTGAGAAAAATAGTCTTTTTATATATAAAAAAAAAAAAAAAAAAATCTTATAAAAAATTGTGCTTGTTTTCTGTGTCTGTACATATAACTGGGAAAATATGCACCCAAAAGACTGAACTCTCCATAGAGCCCATGATCACATCTAGATCACGTTTTGTGAAAATTTAAAAAAAAAAATCATATGAGGTGCTGTATCTATTAAAAAAGCAGCTCCAAACACTACCTAGTAGCACTACCACATCCAAAAGCTGGCCAGAGCTCTAATAAAACTGTCTTTTGCACTAGCCATAAGATAGATATTGATGATTTGGGGCTGTCCTTTGGTGTCAGAACCAACACATGGTTGGGATGAGGTGCCAGCTGGAAGGTCAAAAAAACCTGCTGTTACTGAGAAATTATATTTGTGGAAGTTACCTGGGGTTCCCACTTGACACCTCATCCTGACTAGTGAGCCTGAGGTTGGGAGATGCACCAGTGCCTGAGGTTTTTCCAGAATACTTAGAAGATCCCAAGATGGCAGAAGCATTCGGGTAGAATTCATTTACTTTTGGTTCTTACCACTCTGCTGAATGTGCTCCCAAGGGAATCAGCAGTGCTACACATGCAAGCACCAAAAACTCACTTCCAGGTGGTTGTTTATTTTATAGGACATTCTCATTATTTTCTGTGAGATCACTGCTATTGTATAGCAGCAGCTGCGTTGTTGGACATTATTTATGTAAAACTTCCACCATGAAGATCATGCAATGGCAATTTAGTCTTTATCTATAACTGATCAAAGTACTCAGATACAGATAATGCCCTACCTAAGATAACACAGTTTCTTAAGGAAGTCTCTTTCCCTGAAATCACATCTTTCCTATCCGTACAGACCAACATCGGCACTCCCAGAGATCACACTTTGCACTAGAAAAGGTTTAGACAACTCCTTCAGTCACACTCAACATAGTCCTGCAAGTTCCTATTATGCTTTAAATATCAGGAAATTAAAATAGATAGATAGATAGATAGATAGATAGATAGATAGATAGATAGATAGATAGATAGATAGATTGCAGGTCCTGCAATTGTAAGGGCAGATGTGATTGTTTCTGCTGCATTTCCATACAAATTCAAACTTTCACTCCAAAAGAAAATGAGGGGAGTGGGCTGTAAAGACCTATACTCACATGAGTGAATCCTGGCTCTGTTCCACAGGACATTGAGTCCCAAGTCTGAGAACCAAGCAACGCCTTACCTGCTGTCATCCTCACCTCCTTGCCTTGCAGTGTGCAGGGCATTCAGAATTCAAGGGGGGACTGGATTAATGTTAACTCCAACAGGCAGAGGACATGGCTCCTCTATGAAAACTGGGCTGAAAACTGAATGATTGCCTGTTGCTGCTGGCCGTACACCACCGCTCATTCTAGGACCCTAAAGGCGAGCTACAAGCAGGTCTGAGGTGCATTTGTGTTGGAAAAATTGATCCTCAGTATCATCAAAGAACCTCTGTATGGTGTAGTGTTGTAGACAGTCACCTTACCGCATTTGGGTACTGCTACAGAGATTGTGGAACTCATAATTTGCATTTTTAGGCTGATTAATTTTAATTGTGCAATTTTTATGGTTCATTTACATATGCACTGTTATTTGTGATGCAGATTCTTCCCAAGTGAGGGTGTGAAATGGCAGGGTAATGAAAGTTTTCATGGAAATAAATCTTGGATAAATTGACTGCCAATGAAGCATTAACATTAAAACAATGCTAATTAGATATCCACATATATGTAATCATAGAAAGGTTTGGGTCTGAAGGGACCTTAAAGACCATGTATTTCCAACCCCCTGCCATGGGCAGGGACACCTCCCAGGGAACCAGGTTGCTCAAAGCCCCATCCTACCTGGCCTTGGACACTGCTAGGGATGAGGCAAATATATATTTTGATTAGAAAATACTAGAGGCTTATTTTAAAGCTGAATACAATAATACGTCAACTCAAAAAATTAGTCTTCATTTTTTTCCTTTTTACATACCCTTCTACATTATATTGGCTAACTAGGATGATAATGTTTAGTGTATATATAGCAAAACACTGTAAGAGGGATGTAAGTGAATGTAACACTGACATAAAAATTTTCACCTCTCCCTTTTCACAGCAAATTTTCAGTTTTGAAGTTGCAAATATATCAACCACAGAAGAGCAAGCTCTAGGGCTGCACATAAGTTTGGCAGAAAGCAGTTCTAGACCCTTGGCAAACATAGGCACGAGGGTTCAAAACTCATCACTCTTTACTTCATCTTGCATAATAACAGTACTAAGTTGCATAAAAGAGTAAGATATTTGTAAGCATTTCCTTAGCCCTGTTTTCTCGTTGTTCTAAGGAACTCTTGGGATTTAGACCAGAAGTATCTTCAGAGACTAGGTCCCATCACTGATTAATTCCTCCTCCATGTTATGCAGTACATCTCTCCACAGTCCACCCAACATCTTCCTTCTTCAGTTAGGAAGGATCTCACTCACAAAAGGATTACCTGGGTCCTTGTCCCCAGGCTCACTGTCTTTCGGTGCCTTTTCCCAAGTCTCTCATGCATCACAGACACTTTGACTCAACATTAACAGCTGATGTGAGCTTTGCTCACTATGTCCAGTCCCTATCCCCAAACCCCAGCCAACAAACTGGACCAAACTGGTTTCACCAAGCTGTAACCCACCTATTTTTCTAAAATATGTCCACCTGAATGGGCATCACTAAGACTTATGTAGCCTTTTTTTCCCACATTTTGGAAAGCCAATGGCTCAGGAGTTTAGCAGAGAAGTATGGATGCCTCACAGCATCGAAGCATTCATTGCTACAGTAGTTTCACACAGCAGATGAAAGACGTGCATTAACTGTCCTCCACATCACCATGTGTGCCAGTTATCTTAGACAGAAAGGGCTTTTGTGGTCATGACTTGGTAAACAGAGAGAAAGAGACGGAGCTGCTTTGCTAAAGTCCAGGACAAATAACAAAGCATTCTTCCTGCATAGGATCCTCCCAGGTTTGTTTCTATACTTTCTAGAAAGAAATAAACATTATATATTTGGGGCAGTGTCCTTTTTTTGTGTTCTGGATTGTTTTACACAGCATTTCAAAAATATAGAAAAACTCAGAAATTTCGTTGCATAGTAGAACGTGATTTTTTTCTGGATATTTTTATCTTGGAGTCTGATTTCCTTGACATTAACAGTGCTCCTGTTAATAAGAGAAAATGATACTTTTCTGGAAAAAATATACCTCTATTGGAGCCTAATAGCTGCAGTCATTTAGCTTAAATATTTTTTTTCCATAGGGTAGAGCCAGAGATAACTGCAGGTTTTATTAATTTTATACTATTTATCTCCTTCCTCATGTTCTGTTATCTGCTTAAATGATCTTACTAGAAATATGAATTTCTATGCTTAAGTAATGTCAAGTATTTGGCCTCTCTCTTTGGAGTAAGTCTTGTCTTATTCCACAAGAGAAAGAAGGCAGACAGCAGTTTCAAAAGGCTTTGAAATACAACATAAGAGCAAGCCTTTCCGCTTGAGCTGTGCTCTTCCTTGCTATGGTAGATGTAAGAGTCATGCTCTGTGTTATTTAAATAGGCTCCTTTTGTAAATGAAATGTATGCAGGAATGTTTGTAAAACCATACATCCTGTAGTCACTTCAATATCAACCTCAGTTAATCATAGTGTAAATTGTGTGGGGTGCACTGTCAAAGTACCAGTGCTCATTTCTTCTGTGGGATCTGTACTTACTACCACTGCTGCTTACTCCACAGCTG